GGAGAGAGAGAGAGAGAGAGAGAGAGAGAGAGAGAAAAAGAGAGGGGGGAGGGGGAAAAAAAGAAGGAACGAATCGCCGCTGGCTTAATATAAAGTGCTTACTCGCGTAATCCGATATCGATGATCGCCGAGGCGCCCCGTGTTGATTCTTTCCGTTCTCCACGCTACGTTAAAAAGAACTCTGCCCCGCGGGCGTCTTCTCGCCGGTTTTTAATAAAGGACCGATATTGCGCGCCCCGCCGAGCTGCGCGAGGCCGTCGCGATTTACCCCAGTCGCGAATTGCATAACGGGGAAAATTCGTCGGGACTCGACGATTTCCCGCTGATCGCCCGGAAAAAGGCCGTCTCGGTCGAGAGCGGGAAAACCGCAGCGCGCGCGCGCGAGCGCTCGCGGAAAGTGTCAACGACTAATTAAACATGCATGTGCGGTGTGTAACGTATCGCTAATTGATGACTCGTCGAGTGTGCGCCAAATCGCGCGAGACGAATTCGATGAATTAACGCGATCGTTCCCGATAATTTAATAACTCTCGTAAAAATGTACTCCCTTCGTTTCGCTTTGATCGCGGATGTTAACTACACGCGGGATTTCAATTCGATCTCGATTCAACTTGGACTGCTTTATTTTTCAGGGCGATTCTGCCGCGACATCTAGGGGGAGGGGTGGGGGGGGAAGGGGAGGACGTGCGGGTGCCTCGAGGAGAGAGATCTAGACCTCTAGATAGAGCGCGCTAACACAGATTTCCCAGCCAATTTTCGAGGCCGAACCGACGCGCGAAACACTTCCGCGCGCCATATACACGATTTCGCGGTGATTTCAGCGGAGATTGGCGTCCTGCAATCCTGTTCCGCGGATTCCAATCCCGGATTTATTTATCCAGGCGAATTACCAGACATCTCGTATCCCGACGCGACGCGGCTAATGCGCGGTATCTTTCCGCGATGACCGATAGGATTAAACGATTACGATTACGTAAACTGGCGTACGCAGTTTCGCGAATGAATACAGCGAAAATGGAAAATGGACGCTTACTCGACATCTGATGGAATTCGGGCACGTACTGCTCGCTGTCCTCGGTTTCGGAGCTGCTACCTGCGCGAAGGAGGCATTTTTCATGTTAGCTCATCTGCGATAAATTGAACAGCAATCACATCTGCCGATAAGATAAATAAGGAAAAGAAAAAAAAAAAAAATATTCTACTCGAATATATAACGAAAATGTCGAGCTTCCGTCCCGCGGTAAAATCATCCCTCTTTGATCATCCGTTACATTACGTCCATCGCGTATTACATCGCAGTTGGGCAAGGTAATTAAAATTAATGTTCCGAGCGAATAGTGGCTGCGTGTAATTATCTTTGCTGGCGGCTTAGGGCTTTAATTTCATGCTACGTTTCTAAATTCTAAAAATCAATGACGGCATTTGCGATAATGATTTCAATAACATCGCGATTTTTCGCGAAATTTTATCCGTTTATTCTTATTTTACTATAAGATATTGTGACTGATGTAACTTTTAACTATATATAATTTGTGGCTAAAAAACAACAATTTTCGTGTATTCATTAATTAAATCTCCATTTCTATTAGTTCTGTCCATTTCTATTAGTTTTTAATCTCGGTTTAATTTATCCTTTATCTTTTTTTATTTTCAGAGCTAAAAAAAGATAAAATATGAGCTAAATTAAAATTAAAGTTAATATAATCTAATAAAAATAGACTTTTTATATATATTAGATTAATAATACAAAACCATGTCATTCGTATTACTAATACTCTTTTTACGAGCTAAAAATAAAAAAAAAAAGAAAAAAAATAAATCGCCCGAACAGGGACTCGAACCCTGGACCCTCAGATTAAAAGTCTGATGCTCTACCGACTGAGCTATCCGGGCTGACAGTTTCGGTAGGAGTTAAGCGCGTACTCAAGTCGGGTTCGTGCGAACGCATAACGAATAATAAGTTACTATTATCATAATAAATAATGGATTCATTGTGAAATATGCATGTGCGACGGAAATAAAATTTAGAATGAGAAACTCACCATCTTGCAACCAAGTTTCTTGCCTGTAGCCTTGCGGCATGTACAATTCATTTCCTGTAATCAGAGTTAATTTTTCGAAATAATATGCATTAATTAATCGCGCTATTGATCGCGAGATAAAGTAAATAATGGGCGAGAGGAAATGCAAATACATTCATTTTGTGTATACCGAACGTCGAGCGATGTTTGCCGTAGATTGACAGGACATGCGGCTCGCTTCCGTTATTTTTGATTAATTATTGATACATGTATTTACTCGATTTATATATAGGCTCGATGTAAAAAAAAAAAAGAGAGCAGTTTTTTGGTACTTAATGCGGCCGAAGTATTCGCTCGCGTAAGAAAGGAACGCGTCAATCTGGATCGAGAGATCAGCAAGATCCGTGAGAGGACAATGGAAGCGAGAGGCTGCGAATGAATCAGGGGCAAAAACAAACCCTTCTGCGTGAACGGCCGCATAAGAATGCTACCGCAGAAAACTGGGGTTGCGTTTAATGGGCCTCCAGGATTCGCCATGGGTAGCCACTCGGCGATAACCTCGTTTTGTTCAACGGCAGATCCAGCCCGAATCGAATCTACTTACGCCACAGCTCATTGCTCGGCTATAACGATACTCTCCTCTGCAAACTTGCACACTTTGAGTGTCTGGATGTCGCATAAAATCCGTCATTTGCAACGAATTTATTTTTGCCGAGTACAAATCATATTTGATATCAAGTAAAAGCTAAATATCATGTGTAATTAAAATTTTCTATTTTATTTCTTTGCTATCATAATTTTAATAAAGCAAGCCCACATCACAGAAAAAAATTAGCCTTAAATCCAGAAAAATGTATTCTCGTCGATAAAAAATATTATAATCTTCTTAAAAATTTTAATCTTGAATTTGTGTTTTTATTGATGTAAATATTGCTTTTGCTCAACTCAAAATTAAAAATCTTCTATATGAAGATTACAATATCCTCGCTTACATATGAGATCTGATATGTAATCTTGAAACTCTCTCTCTTAAAACTAATTTTTACTCTGTGTAATCACATTAATCTTATTAACGAAACGCAGGAGAAGTAAAATGAAAATTGACAGACCGCGAACATAAATTTTAATAAAGATTTCATATTTCGGCTAAATGTTCATGTTGCTCGATATTTTCGTCGTAAAGAAGTCGTTACAATGCCACTTCCAGACACACGGAAAATATGAGAGGAAGAGAAAAAGAGAGAAGGAAGCGGGGTGCGGGGGATCGACGGTACTTTCGTCCGTCGCGGCGGCGGCGTTTCAATATTTCTGAATCGTCGTGTCGAAAAGTGGATCGAATGCCGGTGGAGGGGACGTAACGCGATTATGATAGAGAAATTGCGGCATTATAGGCAGTGATTGAGTTAGACGGAGGTGGTCCATCCCGGGCGAGCGGTGGCTTCGCGCCACGGCATGCCAATGCTAGATATAAAGTGTCAATCACTGCAGCCAGACGCCGAGCTGGGGTTGCTCGACGATTCTCCTCGACACGGGGACACGATGCGGGGGTTCCACTGCGAGGACATCCCAGGGGAGTCTTTGCGGTGATAACACGTCACTCATTGAATCTCATCTCGGGGAATCGACGTTGTGTTTCTGGGTCAAGGCTAAGACACTCGTCCGGAAAGAGGAACGTTGTTTGGTTTCGTGGCGAGACAAATTAGCTCGTCGAGGACGCAGTAAAATCGTTGTATCGTCTCGCCGATTAGAAAACGTCTGTGGCGTTTATCAGATAAACGCGCGGTCGCATCACTTAAAGTAAAGGATATCATCGTCGGACTCTGTACTCGCGACTAAGCTCTCGTTTATCTACGGCGTCGGAACGGAAATGTCGGCCGGCCTATTTGGAAGTAATTGGCGAAGAGTATCCCCGGCCGGATTGTCTCGTGGGCGACGTCTCACGGTGTAACCACGTCTCGCCGCGACCTTTGGAAAATAATGTCGTCGTTGATGCGACTATATAAAGATATCGACTCGACTGCCTGCGAGTGACAGGCTCTCTTCGGGGGGTATGGCTCACCCTCCGCCTCTCTCCTTGCCGGCGCGGCGCGGCGCGGCGCGGCGCTTCGTTTTGGGGTACACATCCCCGCACGTGTTTCCTAAACGTGTGCCCTTCCCTATGTGTGCGCTTCTCCGCTCTCGCGGTCTACACGACGGCCTTCGTGTATCGAAAGCCTCGCCTCGATGGAAACGCGACGTCTCCGAGTCGCGACGGTATCAAAGAGCTTCAAAGTCGAACGACGGGGGAATCGAAGAATCGACCGGTCTCTGCCCCGCGTCGCTTCACCTTTTCCCTTGATTACACCCTCGCAAGTTCGTTAAGGACGTCAAGTTAAAACGTTAAAGTGATTCAGATATTTTCTGCGCGAGAGAAGGAAAGCGTCGAAGCGAACGTGCGTACAAAATTTATGGGGGGAACATGCGCTCGCCCCGATTATTCGCAATACGTGAATTGAAATTGAGAAGTGTCGGGTCGCTATTATCGAAATGATCGAAGTTGTTCGTTAATAAAAATTCCACTCACCCGTGTGTAGCTGCTTCTCATTGTTCGCAGTCTGCGACACCGGGTAGCTACTGGGACAATATTCGCCGGCCACCGTCTGAAGCGGCTCGGGCAGTCTGCCGAATCCGTTTCCGGGCTGAAAACACAGGGAAAAGAATTATGAATTAGTAAGATACAAGAGATTTGATAATATCCAAATATTTTCAAGTGAGAAAGATACGATTGCATCGCCGAGCGAGCGGTATTCGACGTGTTTTCTCGAAAGTAAAGTCGCAGTGTCGGACGAGTGTAAAAGAGAATGCAAGTAATTTCAGCGAGTGATTGTAAGACTCGGAGCTCTCAATATAGAAGCGCGAAAGACACAGTGAGAAATAGAGGGTGAAGGGTGAGAGAGGCGGCAAGAGGAAGACATCCGGTGAACGATTGGACGGTTTCCTCCTTGCGGGGCAATCTAGTGGTAAACTCAGTTACCGGTTTTGGGAATTTCGATAACGTAGACGTTGTCTTTGATTCCGTAGAATTTGACTACAAACTGTCGGGAGACAGTTGACTCGACAAAACATCATGCTGCGTGAAATGTCATGCTCTTTAAAAAAGAGAGACTTTTCGTGAAAATTAAAAATTCACCGAACGATAAAATAATTGAACTGCCGTATTGCTCCTGCTAAAATATTGTAACATGTACAATTCCCCGGACATTTCTGATAAAAAGTATATTGATATTAACGAGTATCCGGCGGAGTCACGTTGCTCAAAGTTTCATTATTTGTTCATAATCTCTCCTCGAGATTTTCCTTTGATCGCAATTAATCGTCGTCCGCAATTAGTTGCCGCGATGGCACGGCGCCCGTAATCCGCGCGCTTCAACATAAATTTTAATTACATCCACTAATACCGCCTTAAATGTTTAATACGCCTGTCAATCCATTATGTATACATATTTACTAGCGCAAAAATGATTTCGTAAAACGCCATCAATGAGTATTTCAATCATGCGCAAAACATACAAATCAATGTTCCGTGTGTATGTGCAACAATTTAATACAATTCAATCTCAAAAAAATCTGTATTATAATTAATTAAACAAAAAAAAAAACCTATCTATTCAATATTTCTAAAATTTATTAAATTAAATATTCTAATATCTCAATCATAAAAGTAACATATAGAAACTATATATATATATATATATATATATATATATATATATATATATATATCATCATCTATATATATCATCAGTTGCTCGATGGTTTTTACGATCGAGGTAATCCCTCGTTGGGTCCTCGATAACTGGTACTTTTTGTCGAACGGGATTTAACAGCGGATTGATCGGGCAATGACGCGTGGAGTGGAGGACGCAAACACACGGATACGCGATACCATTTGATATCTCGTAACCTTTCCCAGCGGATGTCGTTTTTAGACGAACGCGCGCGGCACATTCGGCAAATGCGAATTTATATACACGCGCATTTGTGCTTCTCGTGAAACGAGATACCCACGGCGGATCGAGGGAACGCCCCGTCGTTCGCGACGGGGCTACAGGGATCCCTGGTGCGGCACCCCAATCCACGTTCTCCACCCTCGTAGTAATTGTGCACTTCGGTACGGTTTATAATAAAGTCATCGAGCGGACGACACGTCACGAAACTATATCTCATCCCCGATGCACGATCGGCCGGCGGAGCGAGAGGCAAGAATTTAGATGTGAGATGAGCTGAGGGACGAAGAGTGATTTTTCAGAGGAAGAGATCGAAGATAGATAGATTCGAGATTCTGTAATTGAAGTGGGAAATTGGTGTAAACAATGAACAAATCGTTTTGGAATTTAGGATTTGCTGTTTACACGTGGAAAGAACAGCTGAGATATTTAAAAATTTGGCCAGATACTTTTGTTGAATCATATAAATAATTATAGGACGATTAAACTAAGCGTTTTATATAATTATTTTTATAACAAGATTATTTTCAAATCTGAACTGAGCAAAATTTTTTAAATAAATTGTTATTCAGTAAAATCATTCTTTCCATGTAATTTCATCGAATATAATGAAAAACATTTGGAAAGAATGACAACACATACATAAAACTATATGTTAAAATATATATATATCAATATATGTTATAATCATTGTCTCATATTTGAATTTTGAAATTATTTAAAAAAAAAAGAAATTTCATTTTATTTAAAGCGGATTTAAGATATTTTCAATAATCCTCGTTTCACGTATGTTTTATTTTGATCAGCGGATAGAAAAGGTGGTTAAAGTTCTTCTGCTAATTACATGTCGAATAGCAAAGACGGTCAATTTTATCAATTACAGGCGAGAAGTCGCGTTACTTCACCAAGAAAGTTTCTCTGCCGTCTTCCTACCCTTAGCAACTGCGAAGATAATGACGGCGTTGAACACTAGAAGGCGGACAATGCCCAGCAAAAGGGACAGTATGAGAAAGATCTCGAGATTAAAGAACGCGTCGTACTGTGGTGAAGTTTATCAGCTAATTGCTTCTCACAATACAACGGAAAGATCGCGCTAGAAGGGTCGAAATTTTTGCTTTCGATTATTCGTTTTCGAACAATAAGCAGTATTATTTTCCATCAAGTGTCGATTTAATTACGAGAGTAACATTTTTATGTCAAATATATTATAACTATGAAAAGGAACTTTCTGAAATATCTAAAATTTTGACAGGTATAGATCCAAAAATAATTTTGTTGAGCCATCAAAACAATCATGTCATCAGGATATTCAAATTAGTTGCTACAATATCAAAAATTTGTTCAATATCATCATCAATATCATCATGTTTTAACGTCTTACATTTTGATAGCCAATACACAAAATTATATTCAGATTCGTATCCGATCGTATCTGCTTTTAGATACTTCAGCAAAACTATTTTTTCCATGTATATATCACATATATAAGACAAGAACAGAAGATGACTGTCCTACAGCGCGATCCCATTATTTGATCTAATACCAAAGTTTCACCGAAGAAGTTAATCAGGTGAGTAACTAAACAGTCCAGCACAGGCAATCCCGCACACGCCCCATCCCCGAGGAAGCCAGCCCTAATCATGGGAAACTCGAGTGGTGACATATGCTATCTCTCGCGGCAGTCAATTAAACGGCGCCGTCGATCCGACGGTGAGGCGGGGAGCGCGTGTGGGAATCGGCCGATTTTTAGAGTCAACAAACATAAATCAAGTGCTCCTCTCGCCAAGTCATCCCCCTCCCCTCTCTGGACGTTGACCACCCGCGGGCGCGGGTCCCGCGTATCGGGCCGTCACGGTGGTGGCACGCACGCACGCACGCACGCACGCACGCACGCACGCACGCACGCACGTACGCGAGGAATAACGGCGACAATTACGTGTTTAGAGGATACAAAAGGGGTGGCACCCGTGGGACGAGCCAGCGGAGCGTGGAGGCGCGTGCCGCGGCAATTCGCCACCCGACCGAGCGATCATCTCTCGAGTGGCCGCATTGTACGCACGATAACCCTGGACCTCGTGCCACTCGCCGAGGATTCCATTGTGTCGGTCCCGAGGAAGTCGGACACGGATATCCGTATCAAACGGAGAGGAGCTTTTAATGCGGCGGCGCTTAATGGATCTTAAACACTTTCACGACCGACAACGGCGATGCTGCGTCCTCGTGCTCTTAAATATCGGAGATGTCGTTGACGTGACGTCATATTTCATAAATTTAAAAAAAATGTTAAATGTAGTCGGACGTATTCATAACTAGTGGAATCGACTAATCTAATTTGTTTTTTCGCAATCGTTTTTTTTTTTATATATATAATATCTATAATAATCACGCATGAAATCATTTTTTTTAGCTTTCGATTATTCTATCTTACTTGACGATATACTTACAATTTTATCGTATCGCTGACGCGATGAAAAAAAATTTATTATCTGGAAACGAATCGACGAGCAGAGATTAGGATTTGTATATTTTTTCTCTTGATGTGACTTTGTAATTTTCTTATTACTGATATGAATTAAGACAGAAAAGATATAATTTATAAAAAAAAGGCTTATTTTTTTAAATGCAATCTTTCTGCAAGAATATTAAAAAGAAAAATTTTCGATGTAAGCTATATCTATAAGTATTTAACAGCTTATCTCTTTATGTATAAAAATAGAGCAAATTAACATTAACACATTTGCTTAATTTTCTAAGATGCTAATATTTAAATAGTATTCTTTAACAATTAATAAAAATCACAACAAATGATTGAATATTTTAATAACGAAATCTAAATCCAATACAAATTATGATATTCTTCAAAAATAATAAATAATTTTTAATTACTTACTAAACCCGCCAATTCCGTCGGCGCAGCAGGCACCTCCTGATCGGCAAGATTCATCATAACTTCGCTGTTTCGTCCTCGATTTTTCGCGATCAAGCCAAAAATTTCTCACAATTTGGACAACAAACAGAACCGATTCGGAATTGAACGCGCAATTGAACTCGCGCGACGCGAGTCTTGTCGATCGTCGCCGGTGTTACAGCGCGAAGATCGAAGATAGCACTGAATCGGGTGATTTGATCTCGGCGCGAACAGAGGGGTGAGCCACCCTCGCGGCCGGAGCCGGGGGGTTGTGTCTCCGAGCCCGGGTGTACGCCCCCAACGTGACGTAGAATTCAGTCCTGCGCGTATTTCACCTCCTTGCCGACCACTGCCGACCGGGTGCTGGGCGGAGCCTGGAACTCATTGGCGACATACGAGCTCGCGATCAACGAAGGGATGATGCTGCAGAGCCGCGAGCCTCCACGCGAGAGAGAATCGCTCTCAGCTCCGTAAATTCGATTCGATCGCCATCGAGACATTCGCGCGCGCGAATAGAGATACGTTTTAATAAAACTTTAAGCCAGCCCGAGTGAACGTGACCGTCTCGGCAACTCGCAATTCGATCTTGATAAGCTTATAGAGTAGAAGAAATAATAATTCTCTTTCTACGGAGCACAGGTCGCGATCTTTGAAAAGTTTCGCGGATTTATAACGTTTAAATTTCGGACGTTAAATTATCGGAAAAAAATTCTTATGCTTGGACCCAGATATTTTGTAATTAGACAATTGAGCAAAATTGTAAGGAAAAATTTAAAAAAATGTATTATATAACTACAATATAAAATTCGCACTTATCACTTTTTTCATCTTAATTCATTCGCTGAAAAGATAGAAAATTACGTTTTTAAAAATACATACAAACGATAACCTTTGCTCTCAATTCAGTCAAGACGATGAAATTGGATATCCGCCAATCAAGTCGATAGCCTTAAATTTAATAAAAATTCCATTCCTTTAATGTACAATTAATTCATTTTTCCACTCGATTTATTTTATTTTTATTAGAAATTATTTTTATTTATCAAAAAATTGTCTCAATATTTCTTCGATTGCTCCGCACACAAGTCACACTTGTCTCTTACATTTAGCGCAATCGAGACGTTCCTTGGTGATAACATCGACATCTTATCAGACATTACCGCTTTGTACATCCGCGGATAAATACGTCACACAATCTGTAAAATTTTCCATCGAGATGTCACCACGAGGAAGAAACGCACGAGCGCGTGCGCGACAACCTTGCCGAATACATGTAGCCCATAATTTTCCATAGCTTCTGCTATCTCGAGTGAATTCACAATTGTGAAATTGTGAATGAAAATGAATTTACGTTGAAAAACATATTAAGTGCTTGTTGACGTGATCCGCGATAACGCGATTCACATGTCGATCATGTTGTAAACAGAGAATTACCTTCGGAAGTAGCGGAAACGTACGTCAAAAGGAGGTTAAATCGGAGTAAATCATCTCGGAAAGCGTATTACATCATTGTAAGTATCGACAGATTTTTCGCGAATGACTTGCATTTTTCCATGAAATTAATCGTGCAATAATAACGTCGATATATTCATGTTAATATAACGATAATAATAATGTAAATCTGCTGAATCTTTTGTTACTTTACTCCAATTTCTTAGCCACAATATTTTTGGACCTAGTCATGAAAAAAATTTTTTTAATTGGAAAAAGTACTCGACGAATTTTTTTCATACTAGTAATATAATAATATTTTATTATTATAATAATAAATGATATAGATGTTGTTTTGATGCAACGAAAAGAATTCGGAGTAATGGATTGCTCCAGTTTTATATGATGTCATATTTTATGATTATTCTGTCATGAATATTGTCGAATTATTTCCACTGCTAATTAAATTATTTTACACATAAATTCGTAAAATTCAATTAAATTCCCTGTAGAAGTTTTACAATTTTTGTTCTCGAGTCATGTGATTCCGATATGATGTTTTGATTTTGCAATTAATTACAGCGTCATTCGCTAAAGACAAGTTATTTTGGGATATTGCTAGATATTGCTAGAAGGCCATCTTTGTAAATTAAAACAAATGTAAACATATAATAATATACGTATTATAGGATATTTATACGAAAATATATAATTCGAGAAGAATCCTTTCTCTTTGAGGTTAAGCTAACCTAATCCCCAACAATTCATCTCTCTGATCACGCTTCTAATGTTGCACTGACTTGGTTCTAATCGTCAGTAATTATACAAATTTACAGATTTTGCAGAATTTTGAGCGTTAATGCTCATAATACACCGATGAGCTATGCGGCATCAGGTTAAACCATACCCTTCACCAGTTTTTCCGCTTGATCCATCTATCGCTACGAGCTACGGTATCTACCCACATTTAAGAAATGTCCGCGGTAGAGGCAACACCGTTCATCCGCACCATCGAGTGGGACATGATGGACAAAACCAAATTCTTCCCCCTCAGCATGCTGTCCTCGTTCTCGGTCAGGTGTTGCCTGTACCCTCTGACAGTGATCAAGACTCGCCTTCAAGTGCAAAGACAAAATCACATGTACAATGGTAACGCAAATCAGTTGCTACATAAATCGACTCATAGAGAAAACCATAAATTTTTACATAATATCTCTTTTTCACACAGGCATGATAGACGCATGTAGAAAAATTTACAAGCTGGAAGGCATCACGGGACTCTATCGGGGTTTCTGGATAAGCTCCATTCAAATCGTCTCCGGGGTATTTTACGTATCGACATACGAGGGAGTACGCCACTTGCTCACGCAGGACACTTCCGTTGGGCGCGTTGATTCCAAGGTCAAAGCGTTGATCGCCGGCGGTGCTGCCAGTCTCGTCGGGCAAACGATAGTCGTTCCTTTCGACGTTCTCAGTCAGCACCTGATGGTCCTCGGGATAAACAGCACCAAGCACGGCAGAGTGCACGTAGACAAGGTGCGAGCCGTGCAATTCTTACAAAATTATCTTCGCATCTTCAATTGCGATTCAATGTATTCGTGACAATCATCCCGAAAGTCTTTTACAGATGGGAATGAATCCGTTAGGTCTGACCCTTGAATCCGGGAAGACTCGTGCGCAAATCTCCGCCGAAATAATAAAATTAATTTATCAGAGGGATGGTTATCGTGGCTTCTATCGAGGGTACGTGGCGTCTCTGTGCGCATACGTACCCAATAGCGCCCTTTGGTGGGGGTTGTATACAGTCTATCAAGGTAATCGTTACTTTGTTCTTCGTCGAATAAAATAATAATAATAATAATATTTTTTCATATCTTCTTTTTGACAGACGAACTTATAAGGCTGCTTCCTGGATGGTTCTCGCATTTGTGTATACAGGCGATGGCCGGCACGTTGGGGGGTTTCACGACCACACTCATCACGAACCCCTTGGACATCGTGCGGGCGAGATTGCAAGTGCAACGATTAGACAGCATGCTAAGTGCGTTCAGAATACTATGGATCGAGGAAGGACTACACATGTTTACCAAAGGACTTTCCGCGAGGCTCGTACAATCCGCTTGTTTTAGTTTCTCCATAATCTTAGGTTACGAGACTATCAAGAGAGTAAGCATAACCGAAGAGTACAAGAGTTACATTCGGTGGTGAGCTTTTGGAATTACTATTAATACGATTAATTTCGTACGGATGGAATATCGTGTGTTTCATCCGCGATTTTTTTATACGACTGCGATGCGCCTTTCATTGTGTACAACTTGTTAAGCATCAAAGAAGAGATCACAACTTAATTATTAATGATGAAAACATCCCGCGTGAAAGAAGCTACATTCAACTAAAATAATTTTCTTCGGCTATGGAATGTTAAGTTGTGCTTAGATTTATATTACGATGCTATCTCTCTTCATCACACGAACAAATAAAAAGGTATAGATTTTGCTGAAACATTAAAAATTTAGTCAGGTATTGGAAATAATTTTGTTGAGCTATCAAAATTATCATATATATATATATATATATATATAGGACATTTGATGATAACAAGACAAAAATTTTTGACATTTCAACAATCTGAATGTCCTATATTATTTCCTAATCATTTTGATAACTCAACAAAATTATCTTCAGATTTATATTCGATATTCGAAATTTTTAATTACCTCAGCAAAATCGTTCCTTCGTGTAACGGCATAATTGTATCGTCGTTCGTTTTTTGCGTCATTGCTGTACTTCGCGCACCGTAATTCGATATATCACGCAATCTCGTAGAGAGGAAACTTGACATACTTTGGTGTACATAAAACGATAATTCCGAACGATGGCAACTAGGCGAGTATTTGTATATGTAATAAAGCGCATTTTGTACGCTAGTGTCATGTGTCATCAGATGGAGTACAAAACCTCGTAACATGTGTTAGATATGTTACTGTGATACAAATATGTTCTATTCGTATTTTCAAAACAGCCAATATCTTCGATACACATTTCATTTACAATGTAAATGATCCTAGTCAGATATGTGGACAAGTGTAATGCGTATACAATCGACTCCCTGTTAATCGCCTATGGAACCGAATACATGAATGGCTGGGTAATCCGAAAATCATCACAAAACTACTCCTTATAGAATAGTAAATTGAATAAAAAGATATATAATATATAAATATTTATTGTATATTTACTTATATAAAAAACTGAGCAGTGGATCTATTCCGTAATTCTTAACGATATGTTATTGTTACGTTGTTTGTTATGTTGCACAGATATAATATATATAGAAAAGCTACGCA